ATGATGGTATCAAGCAAACTATTCAGTTTGTGTTCCTGACTTCTTAGATAAAGCCAGTGCTGCTTTGCCTCTTGAACAACGATAGTTTGTTCTTCCTCTAGTCGATGAATTAGCATCACCTTGTCAAAGAACTTTTTCTTTGTCAAGAGGTTGACATCATCTACACAATACAGGTAAATCATGTAAATGACAAAGACATATTGACTATATAATTCAATGTGAATACCTATGTTATGCATCATTGACCTTGCTCTGTTAGCTGCCAGGGGAAAACGTAGTCATTTTGTAGGACCTCTTCAATGGACTGTATCTTGAGGAAGGGGTCAACAAGGGCATTGTACTGCTCAATTGCAGAAGCCAGCTTCTTTCTCTCCTCGTTTATTTTTCTTCTTATTTTATTTCGCCCTTTGTTTGTGGCTGAAACATAATGAATTGACATGGGGCATTTTTTGTATTACTATTTGTTATTGACAACAATAATAGTAGTAATAGTGATAAGAATGATGAAGACGAAGAATAAGTAGATCTTTCCTTTTATATTAAACATACCAGTGTGTCTGTAAAGACGATGTTGCCGTTGTTTAATGCACAAAGATAATTCTTCCATTGTGTTCCTTATTGGCTGAATTGTAGCATCACGGTCTCCTACAGTTGCTGTTAAAAAAAAAAAAAAAAACCTCAAAACATAAAACAATTAAACAAATTGCTTGCTCAATCACAAGTTGTAGCAAACTGCAGTGATAGTATTTTGCAAATGTAAACTGAACGACATATAGCCGTTACATACTACTGTGGGCCCACTCCTGTACATCTGTGACCCACTGATGGAGTACACCATCATCTACAGCCAGTTCTGTTTTCATGTCTTGTAGGTTTTCTGTCTCTTTTTTTAGATTCTGCTGAGTCTGAAAGACACAAACCATAATAATCGTTAATGTCTTGAAATATAATCACATTGAATGTCCCATTAGACATTCTCAGAGCTGTGGCAAAAGTAAGTGAAAGTGCAAAGGTGTTGGTCCTCCTTTAGCAGCAATAACATAAACCGAGTGTTTCCAAACATTCAGGAAGGACTTTTGACCAGTCATCCTTAAAGAACTGCTTCTCAGCTACATTTTATGATATCTGGTGTGAAGAGCTTGCTAGAGGTCATTACACAGCACATCTATTTGTTTACAGTCTAGACTGCAATTGTTCAATTCCAAATTTAATAAGTCATTAGTTTACGGTTTCAGAAAGATTTTTCCAAACTACGCTCTGAATATTTGAAAGGTATCATCAATGTGTAGAAGAATATTCAATGTGTACAATAATTAAATAATTTGAATTTCAATTCTATAATGTGTTGGTCTACAATTGTTACTTACTGAGAATGAGATGACATTTTGTGAGAAATACCTGAAAATCAACTAATTCAAACATTTTTCTGCCACTTCAGAAGAAACTGATACTTCACATTTAAAACAAATAATAAAGATGAATATAAATAAAGATTGCCTTTTGGTTTTAGAGTTTGGCACATATTCTGAACCTTCATTTTGTTCCACCCCATACACTGCAATGTGAGCAAATCTGTGCGTCCTGTCAATAAAAAACAAGCAAACTGAATACACTAAACAACAAAGTCTCACATTACTTTTCGGAAGAGTTACTTGAAAATTTAAATATCTGGAAAAGTTATTGAGGCCAACATTACATATAAACATACTAACCTGCTTTGGACATGAACTTAGTGCTTATACCAATCCTTGATAAAAAGCTATTCGCTTGTTCCACTTCTTCTCCCATGGTATATGCAGCGCCCGTTTGAAAGCTTCCACTCCATTTGATCTATTGAGTGAGATAAAGTTGCAGGCTAAATACATGCAGGCTTTTACTGAATACAAATATAAAACAGGCAATATGAACACACTGGTCTAAAATACCTCACATTTCACACCATGTACTTTCGCATGCATAACTGAGAGGAATGGCTTCATGTTCTGAAGATGTCTCAGTTCCGGGCAGGCCTGGCAAACTTTTATCAAGTATGGCCAGTATTTGCACACGATGTCAGCACAAAAGAAAGTTGCATTTTCTGTGCAGAGCTCTTTCTGCAAGTACAAAGGATAAGCATAGATCTCTCCTCTGAACATATTGAGTGCCCTCAAAAGAACACCATGCCTACAGACAGCGACTTCAATTCCCTCCTCATCCAGCTTACTGCTGGTCTTGCTGGAAAAGTCTTTCGCAGCGGCAAACTCTGCAGATCCACAGACACCTTTGCCTCCCACCTACATGGCATATGGGATCGAGAGGAAAAAAGCAGACAGGCATGATTCATGCATGATCTGTGTACACATGACTTTGTATGTGAAATCACTGGATAAAATTTTACACAAAAAAAATCATGAATCATAATGTGTACTTGCAAGCAATCTGATTGGCAAGTATAGTAAACTTACGTGTTGCACTTTTTTGCGGATATACTGAACAAAAGAGGAAACATCATCATCTTTGCAAAGAAACAACCCTTCGAAGTAGCCAGAGCCCTCTGAACTAATAAAACAAAATTACATGTATTTTTTTTTTTAGATCAGGTTTCTAAACAACAATGAACACAAACTTAAGAATTTCAGGGTAATTCAAAGAGCTGTTGTGACAATAATATAAAAAAACAAAACAGTCCTCACAGTATGAAACATTCTGCTCCAAGGTCTTTGTATTACTGACACAAAACATTAACCTTTTGTATGGCAATAAAATGTTATACTATTATGACAAAGTCAACCAACAACAACAACAACTATTAAACACTTACTTCCCAGCCTTTTTGAAACGGTGAAGTTTTCTGTTGCCATCCACAGCAATTGCCAGCATTAAAGGGGTACAAGCTGGGCACATGAAATGTTGTTCGTCGCAGATCTTGTCAACCTCATAACGGCAGATGGACCACTCGAAAAAGCTCTTCAAAAATGTATTGCCACATAAAGTGCCAGACATAAAGATACATAGAAAAATTATTACATTCTAGGCTTGTTCATTGTAAGTCTTTTCCACATCTACCATCCTCTCAGTTAAATATACTGATCACCAAAACATTAAAACAGCCAGAATAATATTATCATGGACCTCCTTGTTCAACCGAAATAGTACAAAGCTATTCAATAATGCTATTCTGTTCACAATTCTACAAAACAGTCTGACTACTGTTATTCGGTCATTAAGGTGTTTTTCCTCACAGAACTGCTTTGCAGTTTTATTTATTTATTTTTGTCACAATTCTGGGTAAGTGATAGAGATGATATAGACAGTTCTGTGTGTGAAAATCCCAGGAGTTCAGCAGTTTATAACATTTGGATCATTGATATTAACAATATCATGCAGATATAGGTCATCTTAAGTTTATGCACTACACTGCATTATTTGAGTGAGTGAGTGAGTGAGTGACGTGACATGTAGCCAAGTATGGTTACCCATACTAGGAATTAGTGCTCTGCATTTAACCCATCCTAAGTGCACACACACAGCAGTGAACACACACACACCGTGAACACACACCCGGAGCAGTGGGCAGCCATTTATGCTGCGGCGGCCAGGGAACAGTTGGGGGTTCGGTGCCTTTCTCAAGGGCACCTCAGTCGTGGTATTGAAGGTGGAAGAGAGCGCTGTACATTCACTCCCCCCACCTACAATTCCTGCCCGACCTGAGACTCGAACTTTGGGTTACGAATCCAACTCTCTAACCATTAAGCCATGACTTTTGTTGATTTGATAATCAAATGGATGATTGTTGGTGCCAGATGGGATGGGTTGAGCCCATCTTTGGTCCTGTTTACACATTGGTATTAAGATGTACAACACTAAATACAGTTGTAAATGGGGTGTAAAACATTTTGAGCTTGTCCACTTTCGACCACTTCCAGAGGTAGTCAAAACTGCATTCAACCAGATTTCTTTCATAGTGTAAATGCTCTTGTGGTTGAATGTGTAGGAACGGCCACTAAAGGTCACCCACTCTCCATCTACTGACCTAATGCATAAAGATTATGGGACATGCGCTAGTCAGATGAGATTTCAACTTAGTTGGCTGAACACCCAAGTTTGGTTTTAAGACAAAAATATATACCAAGCGTAGCATTCTCCAACCATTCCTAATTTCTAACATTCACTCACCACATTAGGTATGGTTTTGTGGTTATCAGAGCAGAAACAAAAGCTGCTGCTCTCTATATGGTTTTGGTAATCTAAAGCCCATACATTTACCCGTCCATAGACACCCCTCTCTTAGAAATCAGGACAGAAGTGGTTGAAAGTGGACAAAAGGGACTGATTAAAATACCAGGGGCCTGTACCATGAAGCTGGATTATCTGGCTAGTTTCAGATTAGTTTGCAGGTAATCCTGGGTTTTATCTACCGTTAAAATTTGGCTTGGTTTTTAGCTGCGTTCATTGCCATAGTAACTTACACTGCACTGCAAACCTGCTACAGGGCAGGTTTTGTTCTGGTTAAGAGATCTCAAACCGAAATTGGACCAATCAGATGTGAGCTGCAACATCCAACGCAATAAAGTCACTCCAAATTAAAGGTCACTATATAGTAAAAAAAAAAAAAAAAAAAAAGGATTTATATAATTATATGATCTATATTATTATTAATCAACTACACACAAGCAATTTTAGTTGAACTATTATTAAGCATTTAGTTTAAATGAATATTGATAAATAAAGATCATACGTAATAAAAATAAGCTGTCTGTAGAATCAATAGATAACGCTTTAAAAATGACCACATATGACCTTATATGTTCGAGTTTAAATCGCTATATATCCTCAATCATGGACAAGTATTTTCTTCAATGTAATTGTGTAAATTATTCATATTTTTTAATCTCTTAACCTTTAGCAAGAGTTTTGAATCGCGCTTGTTGTTGCAAGGCATGTGATTGGCTGTTTGCTGCTGATGTCACACCTTCATGTGCACACGCTCCACAAACTCAGGATCAAATCCCGAGTTGACGGAGAAAGTTGACGATCAGCATCATGCTACCAACAAAGCCGGATAGAAGTGGTTTGGTTTTATCAACTCGAAACTAATCCTATAATCCTGAGTTTGTTCTTCTACCATCATAGTACAGGCCTCAGGTGTAAATGGGAACGGTCTCCCGCATCTACTGGTGATCCGATCAACCAAAATGCATCTTAGGGTGCGCACCCGAGTTCGGAAGACGTTCATATCATCCAAATGAACCGGACTCTGACGTCAACGAACCCGTACTAGCAAAAGTGCTAGTGTGAAAGCACCCTTAAAACCAGGTGTAAACATGGACTACACTGCTCATCTCCTGGGATTTTTGACTGCAGTTCTGAAGACAGAAATGTTTTGTTTGCATGAGTTTGGAGCACAAAAATAATAGTCAGGATGTTTTAATGCTATGGCATATCAGTATATGAGAAAGGTACTCACTCTGCCATAGTGCACTGTCTCAATGTCAAGCATTCTTATGAATGCTAAATGAGACAATCCTGGAGCAGCCATTTTCAAGTCTTCAAAGGACATGAAGACTTCCTCGTCATAAATCGTGCAGAAGTTCATGGTTGCAGGCCAGTAGCCACTGTTCTGCATTTCAAACACACCTGGTATCCATGTTTCTTTGCATTTCTCACAATGAAGATGGGGCAATGACAATTCGTAGCGACCTACAAAATAATAGTCAGTAAATGAGATTTAATACCAAAGTATGATAACAGAATACAAATGATTCCCTAAAAATTACACTTAAAAACTGCAAAAAAATAAAATTGTAAAGGGAGGACATTAAATGGTTAGTTCACCCCAAAATGAAAATTCTGTCATTTACTTACCCTCATGTCTAGGGTTGGGTACTGAATTCGGTACTTAAAGGGTACCGACCGAATTACGTCGGTACTACCGAGTACCAATTCACATTAAATCAATCGGTGCCAAATTTCGGTACCCGAGAACGCATCTGGGCACGAGAGGTACGTTAGAGAAAGACAGAGAGACCATGTGAGACACTCCTGCAACTTGTTCAAACACAACACACATGGCAATGGCTAAACGTTCTGTGGTTACATTACACAGAAAATGCTCTCATGCGCGCTCCACATGTTTTTACATACTAAATATTGTCAGTCATATTTTCCATGTGTTGTTAGTCAAAACTTCAGCTCTGACAGCATCATGGGGAAAATAAAAACACTTTTGTGTTACTGTGCTGAGGAAACATACACTCACGGCACGTGTCCGAATGCAGCGCTGAACAGCAGAGGTTAAGAACAGCATGAGAAACGGTCATTTGCGAGTCGTGACATTTGAATTTTCTCCTGTAATGCGATCTCATGCATACTAGCCTACAGCGCACACATAACAGTTTATTTTGTCTAGTGTGTAAAATGTCTAAATAAATAAAGTTGAAATCAAGAGGTTTGTGCTTATTTTTTTCTCTGAAATAAATTTTTTGTTATTACACAGAAAGTAAAGTACCGAAAAAAGGTACCGATGGGTACCGCACCGAATTTCAGGTACAGATAGTGGTACTGGTACCGGTTAAAATATGAACCGTACCCAACCCTACTCATGTCGTTCCAAACCCGTAAGACTTTCGTTCATCTTTAGAACACAAATGAAGATCTTTTTGATGAAATAATGCTGTCAGATTTCTTTCCATTACCTGCTCTTGCAACTGAAACTTTGATGCTTCAAAAAGTTCATAAAGAGATCGGAAAACTAATCCATATGAATTGAGTGGTTTAATCCAAATTTTCTGAAGAGACTCAATCGCTTGTTATGATGAACAGATTTCATTTAGGCTTTTACTCTCATATAAACAATGATCAGCGAAAATAAGAAGAAGCTCAACCGAACATGAATAACGCACAAGATCAAACCTCCTCTGGAAGCTCAAACATGCTGCTTAACACACAAGAATTAACCTCATTGGTTATGCAGCACTTTTGAGCTTCTTCATTTGTGTTCCGAAGATGAATGATAGTCTTACGGTTTTGGAACGACATGAGGGTGAGTACTTAATGACAGAAACTTAATTTTGAGGTTAAGTAACCCTTTAACTACAAGATCCAGTAAAATCTTCAACTGTCCTGTGCAGATGTGTTTGTGTTGTATGACATGGTAAATAGCACCAAAGCCATTTTTAAAAAGTAGAATACATACATATTACAATTTTCTGATAATAAACATGCATATGTTTATTAAACAGGGCATATTTTAGTATATGCTGAACACTTACCCTTCATGTTGATTACAGTAATGGACTTCCCAATTCCAACACTGTACTTTTCTCCACAACTACATATGGAATTAGGAAGTGCCATTGGTAAGAGTCGATCTACAATAAAAAAACATAAAAACAAAGTGTCATGCATAAATTTACAAGTTCATTAAAAAAACATTAAAAAATTAAATTAAAATGGAAGTCTGACAATGAGTAGCACCGGCGGTGATGCACCAAAACACTTTTTTATGTGAATACTGTTTAATGTGAATATTATGACAGGAGTGAAGCACAAAGCTTTGTTTACAAAATAAATAATAGGATAGCAATGAAATGTTACATCACAGCCATTGAAACGTTGGAGGTATGTGAGCCAATAAATGTAAGCTTTGCCGGCTTTGTGTTCCGTTCACCCGATTATCAGCAAATTTAACAATATTTCAATTAGTTATTCCATGGACATGGTGTCTCTTTTCTTTTCCCAAATCTTCACTCACGTCACACTCATTTTCGCAGGGGATTATAAAAGTTGATTCGCTTTTACAGTTTTTCTGAATTGCTAAAACACATTTCTTGAAACCATCACTCATTTTCTCAAAACCTTAAACACAAATCCAAATACTCAAACTAAATTCACATCAATGCACGTATACTGATGGGGCAAACAGTCTTTACATTTGACCACCGCCACCTTTGCCTTGCACTCCGAACTCAGCTGTACCTTGCTATGCTCCGTTATAAGCCTAT